GTTTTTGAGAGTCCGTTTCTGTAACCTATTTACAATCTCGGAATTTCATGAGTGATTATGAACGATAAATTCGTATCGGCACCATAATTTATGGAGGTTTTGTGTACACATTATCAGTTTACAATTCGTGAACAATTTCTGTAAGCTACTTGGATATTTTCTTTTCAATTAATTTAGTCACACTCTCGGAATTTCATCAGTAATAAAGAACGATAAATCCGTATATGTAGCAAAAGTGAAGCACATTTTAAACTTTCCATGCTATTTTGGAAAATATATTTAATTGCCTCTCGATAAATTGACCTGCCATAACGCGTTGATTATTTCACTATTTTGTAGCCCTAAAAGCCTGACTTATGACTATGGAAGTACTGAACTTAATATATTTGATACAGAGGGCACCCTTGAAGGAGGAAGGTTATAGTAAAATAATTGCTTTTACGATCGTATATTTGTAGTAAGTTAACAGCAGTCAAGATCGTTACTAAAGTTTATTACACGAAGTAACATGGTCGACTCACATGGGAGAAGCACTATAAAACAAAGGATCACGGGAGAAAACGCTTTACATCAAAGCATCATGGGAAACACGCTATCTTCTCTCAAAAAAACTAAACAAAGCTTCTTTACAACTAGCAGCAATGAAAATAATTTTCTAATGTCAGTGGTCCCATCTTGGAGTATTGTCACTGCTGTTAAAGGTCAATATAGGCTGTACGTTTACATAAATAGGTACTCTGCACCTGTAATAAGAAATTCAATACATCGTATAGTTCATCAGTTTGCATACACGTAATTTCCTGGAGGCAGGGCAGAAAGAGGGGCGCTTGTATGTTTATCATACGCATTATTTTGTTTCAGTTTACGATGGCCATGATCAGCCACCACAGTGTCACGTGGGGGAGTAAAAGATTCCAAAGTGGCAGCAGGTCGAGGAAGATCGCTGTGGAGTGAGCGGCCAAATAATCGCTGAGCAAGTGAGAAGGTATGTCTTGCAGGTGGGGTGTTGCAGATGGATAATGAAGTTAAGTCCACATCGTCAGCTGTGAGCAGGATGTGTTTTGCTAATTTGACAGCAGCTTCAGCTCGTCCATTTGACTGAGACCAGTATGGGAAAGCTGTAAAGTGGTTAAATGGTTCTTCTCGGCAAATGTCTTAGATAAATCAGAGGTAAACTGAGCACCACTGTCGATTATGAGAGTGTGTGGAATTCCGTGTCGGCCAAAATGCTGTTTAGTGAATTGGGTGACAGCTGAAGGTTGGATAGTTTGGAGTTTGTCAATTTCATAAAAGTCGCTGTAATAGTCAACTGTGACCTCCCATTTGGCTGAACTAATACCAAATGGGAGGCGCGTCCAACGGTAACGACCCTACGGGGTGTGCATGGTGGTCATCAGAGAAGATTCCTCTGTTAGCTCATTGGTTTGAAACGCGTCCCTGATATCAAACACAGAGAAAATCTTCGCTTGGTAGAACCGGTAAATGTTCTCCTCAGTAGCTAGTAGCAGATGCAGGACGCTCACGAACAACCATATTAGAGATCCAGGCAGTTGGTTCATTTACTCGAACCAACTGACCAGCTTGAATAAGTTTATCCAAGGCCCCCTTGATAATAGGTAGTTTAGGTGCAGCATAACGGTTGGGAGGTACTTGGATGGGCTTCACATCGGGATTGAGGGTGATCGAAAAGGGTTCACTCAGTTTGCCTAAACCCTTAAACAATTCTAGATCTGCAAGTTTGATGTTATCTAAGGCTAACTCACCAAGAGAAGGAGAAGACGTTTGAGTAGACTTCAGGTGATTAGCAGTGTCCACGTCATAATGGAAAATGCCCATGCAGATGCTGTCAGCCAATCCTAAGAGGGGGGCATAATTGTCTTCGCAGTGATTATTTGGACTACAATCTTGTATGATTTCCCATGGCGAGTGCACTGTAATGTGGTTTACCCCGAGGTTGGGATGACTGACTTTGAGTAGTCAAGGACACGGACGAAGGACAGATCCACCCGTACCAGGGAGAGCTTGTTGAGGTCGGTGACATGTATAGTGTTGCAGGAGAAACCAGAGTCAGCCTGGAATCTGAGCCGTTTGGGAGAGGCTGGTGTGGAAACAG